TCTGCCACTTCAATCCTGCCTGTACTGTATCCATAACGCGTTGAAAAGTTGCAGGCGCTGAGCAAAGGCCGAAGGGCATCACCTTAAACTCGAAGAGGCCGTCCGGTGTTATAAACGCCGTCTTCTCTCGGTCTCTTTCGTCGACTTCGATTTGCCAATAGCCAGTCTTGAGGTCCATTGACGTAAAGTACTTGGCGTTATGGAGCCGATCAAGGGCGTCGTCTATTCGTGGGAGAGGATACACGTCCTTTCTTGTGATTTTGTTCAGGCGGCGATAATCGACGCAGAAACGTAGGGTCCCATCCTTTTTCTTCACTAACACCACGGGGGATGCCCAAGGACTTTTGGACGGCTGGATAATGTCATCTCGCAGCATTTCATCAACTTGTCTCTTCATTGCCTCACGTTCTCGCGTCGAAACCCTGTACGGACTCTGACGGAGTGGTCTGGCATTTTTTTCGGTTATGATTCGATGTTTCGTGATTGGGGTCTGCCGAATTTTCGATGACGACGAAAAGCAATCTTCGTATTGCAGGAGCAGGGCCTTGAGCTGTTCTTGCTTATCGTTCGGAAGTCTGGGATTGACGTCGAAAGCTATGGGAGGGGCTTGGTTCCTCTGAGCAGGTTCCGCAGAATCGGCGAGGGCGAAAGCACTGGTGGCTTCGACAATTTCTTCGATGTATGCGACCGTTGTTCCTTTGTTCACATGTTTGTACTCATTGCTGAAATTCGTGAGCATAACCGTTGCTTTGCCTCCCCGCAGCTCTGCAATTCCTCTTGCGACGCAAATATTTCGGGTGACCAACAGATGCTGACTGCCTTCAACGACGCCTTCCAAGTCAGGTGATTTAGGAGCGCTGACTGAAATAATGACGCTTGAGCGAGGCGGAATGGTGACTTGTTCTTCCAGCACATTCAAGGCATGGTGTCCTGACGGCGTGCGCGGCGGTAGTGCTTCTTCTGTGGATAACGTTATCGACCTTGTTTTTAGGTTGATAAAAACACCATGGAGGCATAAAAAGTCCATGCCAAGGATGACATCTCTCGAGCAACGCTGTAGGACTACGAAGTCTGTAGGATAAGTACGGTCGTTAATGGTGACTCTTGCTGTGCAGATTCCTGCAGGCGTATCGAGATGACCTCCGGCTGTGTGGATTTCAGGGCCTTTCCAAGCTGTCCTAACTTTCTTTAACTTCGCGGCGAACGACCCACTGATGACCGAATAGTCGGCTCCAGTATCGACGAGAGCAGTCACACTGTGGCCGTCGATAAGAACGTCGAGGTCACTAGTTCGCCGTCTCGCATTACAGTTAGGGCGTGGCGTCGGGTCACGGCTGCGTCGGCTTGTTCCGCTGCTTCCATGTTGCGTCGTCCGGCCACCTTCGGTAAGTGAGCTTTTGCCTTCAGGGCTTTGCCTGGCTGGGGTTGTGTTCAAAAAGCTCCGTCGCGTCGGCGTCGTCGTCGGATGATCTTCGGTAGTTCGTCGCACAGCAACCGCACCTCCATCGGTTGCTGCCCTTAGTTTCCCGGATACGGGCTAGGAGACCGGCCCCGCGTTGGGCCAGAGTACTGCCGGGGGTGCGGTGACATGCGGCGGCTGGGCGACGGCGAACGGGAAGGACTTCGTGGTGTCCATTGAGTTCCTGCCAGGTAGTCGGCGATGTCACGTGGCCGATCTCCTGGCTGCGGACGCGGTGCATTGACGGCGAAGCCACGCAGTCCCATCTGTCGGTACTGGCAACGGCGGTATGTGTGCCCGGCCTCGCCGCAGTGGTAGCAGAGCGGGCGGTTGTCAGGTGCACGCCAAACGTCCGTTTTCCTCGGTGCACTGCGCTGGCCCGCTGGGGAACGGTAGGACGTCGGTTGGGGTGGTGGCGGCGGTGGCGTCTGGCGACGGAAGTGTGACGCGGCGGCGTTTTGGCGTGGACGGGGAGGAGCGTTGTGGCGCACTGCAGCGGCGTAGCTCATAGTTTCTGGCTCGGGCGGCGGTGTTTCGGGAATTCGAAGCGATTGCCGGACTTCTTCTCGCACAATGTCGGCGATCGAATCCACTTGAGGCTGCGCCGAAGGCAACAGTTTGCGCAGCTCTTCCCGCACGATCGCTCGGATCGTTTCACGCAGGTCGTCGGAGTCACTGGCTTGAGCAGCAGCGCATTCTGGAGTCAGGCGACGATTATACTGTCTGGTGCGCATGTCCAGCGTTTTTTCGATGGTGGTCGCCTCGGATACAAATTCTTGGACGGTGTTCGGTGGATTCCTCATTAGTCCCGCGAAGAGCTCCTGTTTGACCCCTCGCATGAGGAAACGAACTTTCTTTTCCTGGGGCATGTCTGGGTCAGCGTGACGGAATAGGCGGGTCATCTCCTCTGTGAAAATTCCAACCTTTTCATTTGGGAGCTGAACCCGGGTCTCGAGTAGAGCAGCGGCTCTCTCTTTGCGAGCGACGCTTGCGAACGTTTGAAGAAATGCGCCGCAGAAGACATCCCACGTTCGGAGCGTGGACTCCCGATTCTCTAGCCAGGTCATTGCGGTGTCTTCCAGGTAAAAGTACACACGACGGAGCTTTTCTTCATTGTCCCAGTGGTTGAGGGCGGCCACACGGTCGTATGTTTCTAGCCAGGTTTCTGGGTCTTCAAACGATGAGCCATGGAACTTTGGTGGTTCCCTGGGTTGATGAATGACGATCGCGGGCTGGGACGCTCCGGTTGTCATTGTCGCTGCAGTCGAGGTCATGGTCTTGGTCTTCCGCGCCTTGTCTTGTAGCAGGCCGTACTCCGGTGGGAGACCTTGCTGTCGGCGGCTCGTTCGCTGCTCTTGGTTGGCGTCGGTGTCTTCTCCGCGAAGGGGGCTGGGTTCACGGCTTGACGGGGGCGTCCGGTACATGAACGAAGCAGCACCTCCACCAGATGTCACGGGGTCGTGACGTGGCCAAAGACAGAAAACTTCGTGTTGGGATTTAACTGTTTATTTGGGCAAACCTGTGCCCGGTAAATGGAAAGTCTAATTACAGCAGCAGTCTTACACAGATAGCAGTCTCGGACTGATAGCGGCGAACACGGCGTCGGCCTTCGATCAACAACTGACAAGCGGCGAAGCGCGTCGGCATTTATACCCTTGCCGTCGAATGTTCTAGCGTTATCGCTGGCGGTGGCGTAGGTTCCAGAACAATCTGTACCGTTCGCACAGTGGGCGTGATCTTATCGAAATGATCTACTACAGTCCGGAACGTTCTCGAAACCTGCAGGCGTGGTTTGCGCCGAGAATCGTGTGGTGTTTCGGAACGATAACAAAAACTTGTGAAATGGAACGTGGCAATATATATATATATAGATATATATATATATCAAGACTTTCCCTGGTAGAGTTGGTTCTCCCCCTCCCTACGTGATTTGCACGACTGATCAATATTTATTTAAATCATGTATGAACGATACTACTTTCGAATACGTGTGAATAGACATGAGTACAAATGTTAACTTGGGTAAGGTTGATAGAAGGGCTGCTTCTGAGTAGATAGCTGCCACAAAGACGTTCAGCAAGAGGCTGTCATGCAAAGGTGTCGTGGCACAAACTTCATCTCACGATCTTCCGTTTTTTTTTTTTTGAGAAACCCATATTCTTTTCTTAGGCGTTGGTGAATTCCAGTGCAGTGGCAATCCTTTCATCGCAGCCACTATTAATAGCTCTCGTATAAATTGCTGCCCTCATTAGGCCTATCGCAAGTACGATGGATTTCTTCCGTTTCGTCGACGTCATTCTACGCGTTTTATGCTGTTTTCCTGTGTGTTTGTACTTCATTTTAAATTTTGGCGTTTACCGTTGCGCTTTTCGGGCTTGTCTTCGCAGAAATATGCGTAGACGAGCAGAAAAGCAGGACCAAATGCCGATGCCTCTCCGTCCCCGTCGACACTGGTTGGGAAGACGATGGCGATGCGGCTGAAATTGCCGCACATTTCAATCTTCTCAAAGCACGTGATATAAAGACTTGTTTTTATTTATTTATTTACTGCGCACGCACGAAACTGCCTCTACCAGAGATGGAAAAAATCGCGCTTTTTCCAACCGATCGCAACTGCGGGAGTCTGCACTCTGTCTGAGATGACCAATATTGGCGTAAATTAGTGTAATTTAGAAATACCGTTCCGTCATTATATGCATCATTTTGCTGTTTACACTGAATCTGGATCATCTTGAAATTTCCACAGATAGTAGTAGATTGTTGAAAATCTACAATGCAATAAAAATGAAAATCACTTCGGTAAAATTGTCACTTTTCAAGGTCACAACTCTTATTAGGATTCAATTAGGTTTTTCTGCTCTGTATTATTTATTCTTTATATTGCCTTACATTAGTCTTCTTATTTGTGAAGTTGTGCTTAACGTATAATCCATTTTCCCACTTGCGAATATCACTGAAGTTGCTATGGACTGCATACAACTAGGAAAACGTGGAGACAGGCAATCATTATGATATGAATGCCGCACATTGTACATGCAATGAAACAACTGTTAATTAGGCAAGTGAAATTTAAAAGTGGCATACTTCCATGAATCACGCACCACTGGGGTAGCCCAGTTGCAATACCACCACATTTTCAACTATGGGTCATGCGTTCTGCGTTCAATACTGTAAACAGCGCCCACATTACCGCCAAAACGTAGCGCAAAACAATTGAGTACCGCTAATTTGGTGTACATTAGGCAACCCCAAGTGGCCAAAGTTATTCCATCGTCTCCATCATGGCAGTGCGCCTGGCTCATAAGTCTGTTAATGAGAACTAACAACGATTATGTCTAACTAACGTTGTGTCTAACTAAATGAAACGAGCCCTTAAACGTCACCCATCTGTTTTTTGTAATTATGTTGTACTTCGTGTCTTAAACTCCAGGTTTTGCTACTCTCGACGAAGTAGATTGCACACACCAGCTACACCTGCTCGACAAAGAGCTAAGCTTCACTCGGTAATATCGAGGAAACTGTGAAGGACTTTTTTCCGCAGGGCCACAGAAGCGATGTGGGCCTCCAGTGTGGACCATCTGGACGACCTTGCACTACCATCGCTCATCTGGGCCAGAACCTTGAGCAACCACATTCAGCACTGACTCACGTCACACCATGTCTGAGTGACGTATTACTGTGCGTTCAGAACGTATTTATGAAGAACTATAGATAAAAATGTGTTTAATACAGTTTGGTGGGGCGTTTTTACGGCCCGTTATCTGATTTCATGGCGATAATGCTCATTAAACCAATTTCTGAAGTGCAGGTGGTTTATACTTGTCTGTGTGCGTAGTTTGCGTAAACGAGAGCGTGACCCTCTAGCTAGATATTATATGTAGTGTTGAACCTTTATTTATTGAAGTCATCAGGACTCACAAGGTAGTTACCCAATTCTCGAATTTCCTTAATTTGACAGAACGGGACATTTCGTTCGAGACGACATATTTATTGCCCAAGAAAAGAGGTCACAATTTTCACCTACATGCACTTTGCGAGTAGCGGGAGCACAAAATTCACATAGCTAGCCGGTGAAATTGAAGCATCCTCGACACCTTCATGTGCCCCAGTAAACCGCCTCAGAAGGTCAACGGCATCCATCACCTGACTTGGTGGGGGCATGGAGGCGTCGACAGTGCCGGGATCGTTCGGTGCTTCAGACTCATCTTCTGCGCTGGGAACAAACCGCCATATCTCCTCATCGTCGAGAACTTCTTCTGCATCAGTGTGCGCGTGCACTTTCCCGTTGTGGTGGAAGTTCTGATCTAGGACCACCTCTTCAAGCTGACAAAGCTCCTCCCGATAACTGGGCGTGTCTCTTCCTGCTCGTATTACAAGCATCTGGTTCCCGACGCAGCCTCGGAAGTGGAAGTTGGAATGACCAAGTTTCGCCTTAATGTCCAATTTCTTTCGCGTGTGTCTATCCCATAAGCTCTGTCAATAAGTCCCGAACTTTCGTTTAAGGATAAGTGTTAGCTCTAGTGCCGAGATAGCTACAAATGTATCTGCAGACTTTTTGTGGACGGACGCAGCAGCTTCTCCGCCAGCACGTGCCCTTGGCACCCAGAACCCAGCACACTACGACATGCTGTTTGAATGTGTAGTCCGTGCATAACAGTGAGTAGAGCAAGACAAGGACGGGGTCTCTGTGTTTTTTCAGATTTTTCAGAGCGTTTACCACACTTGGGAAGTCTGTGTGGAACTTGGTTGTCTAAATTGTTTAATGTGTTTGACGGCTGCAAATATTGCGTATGCTGCTGTTGTGAACATGCTTTAATTCGAGTACAGTACCGCGGTATATGAAATGGATGGTTCAACCACTGCATGAGACACGGCACTGTTAAACTTCAAGGGCCCTTAAAGAATTCAGCGCACGTGTACTTGTGCTGCGGTTCGAGAAAGTATGTACGGATATGCACCTGAGGGATGTGTTTCAAAACTTTTTTGAAGGATACGTCACATTTTATGAATTGTCATTGCCATGATGGCAGATATGCAGCGGGGGCCATTAGAGACTGTTCATGGAATGACAGGCTCATTTCCTAAGCTTGACCCCTCACGTGGGGTAAAGCTGTGTAAATTAATACCGGTTATCAAACAGGGCAGAAATGGACAAATCATGTGTAGTTGAGTGTGAGGGGTGTTTCTTTTCTGCGTTCACTTTTTCAAAATATACCAAGGACATATAAAAAGCGACCATTGATTCAATTAAACGTACAGGCCTCGTCCTGAAGCCTTCAGTGGCTAGACGGATGCCCAAACTGTGAATTGGTTCAAACATTTTCAGAGAACTTGGCGCGGCAGACCGATACAGCACCTTACTACGGTGGTGTGCAAAAAAAAAACATGAAGGAAGACATACAATATCCGTAATTGTGTCAGTAACAGGCTATTAAGTCACGAAGCTTCGCTAAAAGGTCAGCCGTGTTTTAACCTTTGTCTGTACTGTTGTGAATGGAGCTGTGCACCATTGTTTGGCGATACACGACACTGAAATCTAGATTCAAGAGTATAGGGTATGTAGCAAGTGAAATCAAAGAAGCTTATCTCATAAACAATGGAGGCGATGTATATGTCGTGAGACTTTCGGTCGTGTTACTTGCCGCTGAGTTATATTTTCTGGAAACATATGACAAGTTTGCCTTATCGTAGTTTTTTAACATGGTGCTCATTTAATCGCATATATGCGTATGTCTGTTATTTCTCTAAGGTTTGAGTTGATACTGTGCGCGATGTTTTGTACCCTTTCCTTCGTGTTATCATTTTGGCGCACGGCAGTTCTAGGTTAAGTAACTAACTCGCCCAGCAGTCCGTACACTTCAAAAGTGATACAGCACACTGACGTACTCCAAGCGCGTCCTAACAAGACTGTTCATTCTATCGTTTCCCCATGTCGTGTGCGACATGGTGAAGTGATAGAATTCAGGATATTCGTTGTTTTTGGCACTTCTATTTAGGGTGCTTGATGGGAGGAATGAAAGACAGTCTTGAGTCAATGATAGCGCCCAGAAACGTATGTTCTATGTTGATCTGTATGTGTTGTCCATCCAGCGTAACCTCAAAAATAGATACAAGGCCTCTTTTTTGTTTGTTTGTTTAAAAGCACAGGAGGTTTCAAAGAGGTTTATCTCAGAACCATTTTCATTTGACCACTTTGATACTTTGTCCAGGACAAGCTGAACTGGTCGTTTTACGAACTCGCCTTCTATCTCTTACACCTCCCTCTCGCCATGACCTCGGTGGGTGCACTGCCCTGTCTCCGTGTGAGCCTGACGAGCTCTGACAAGGATCTTTCCGGTAGTTTCAGTCAGAGTACGACAGAGGATGACGGTGCAATATTGTGATAAAATTCTGTGGTACGTGCAACACGGCGTACTCGGTTAGGGAACGGCACCGTCGCGCACTTTGCCTTTTCTCCTCGTGTTAGGGCGTGACGCCTCGCTTTCAAAGTAACGAGTCTTCCGTATGCACCAGTGGTGTTCCTTCATCGCTGCCTGTGTAGAGAGGAAGAAGAATATGTGCCGCAGTGGGTCACGCCTTTAGCAAGAGGAGCCGAGTGCGAGCTGTTGCCCCGAGCGTTGTGTTTCCTGCGTCGGTTCCTGCCGCCCGCTTTCCACATCAATAGACCTGCTGTGCAAGTACTACTTGTGCCAATAAACCCGGTTCCAGAGTGGTGGAGGTGCGGGGTAACTCAACCTGGAACTGCGCAACAGGAAACTACCTGCCATCCCAGACATGGCTGAAGAAAACACCCAGCAAGGTACGACCCAGCCTCCGATGGTCATCGTGCCCACTGCGCTACGCATGCGCGATCCACCTTTTTTCGACGGTACTAATGAGCAAGACGTAGAAGATTGGCTGCCGACATTTGAAAAGGTAGGCGCAAGCAACAAGTGGGACGACCCTTCGAAGCTGCAATATGTACCCTTCTTCCTGAAAGAGGTGGCGAGTCTCTGGTTTAACAACCACCAGTCGGAATTTGCCACTTGGGGTGCCTTTAAGCTGCGCATTACCGATGTGTTCGGTCGCCCCGAGGTACGCAAGCTCCGTGCCGAACAGCGCCTACGGGGACGCGCACAGCTTCAAGGAGAAGGCTTCACAACCTACATCGAGGATGTGCTCGACTTGTGCAAGCGCCTTGACCCTTCAATGACCGAGGCAGACAAGATCAAACATATTTTGAAGGGGATAGACGACGACGCCTTCCAGATGCCGCTGGCCAAGGGCCCACGTACCGTGTCCGAACTCGCCACTCTTTGCCAGAGCTTCGAGGAGTTGCGCAAACAACGGGTCATGACACGGCGTCCAGCGGCTACCGATGAAACTCTCGCGGCATTCAGCCTGGGTGGAGACCACAGCGCAATCATGTCCGAAATCAAACGATATGTGCGCGAGGAGGTGGCCCGACAACTTTCGTGCCTGTCGTATCTACCGGCAACGGAACCCTCTTCTGAGCGTCTCGCGGCCGCCATCAGGCAGGTAATACAGGCGCAGGTCTCTGAGGCATTGCCGTCCGTCTCTCAGACAGCACCCGTCACCGCGCCATTGACTTATGCTGCTGTTGCTGCTACTCCGCCACGACCTCCGCTTGGGCCGACTCCCCAGCCTGTACGAGTATCAACGACGCCATTTCCAGCAACACAACAGCGCTATAACGGAAACCCTTGGCGCACAGTTGACAATCGACCGATCTGTTACGCATGCGGATATTCAGGTCACGGGGCACGCTTCTGTCACCGGCGCTTCGCAACGGGTCCGGCTGCACCTCCGAGGTACCCTGACTACTCTTTACCGGCCCCGTACAACGCGCAACGAGAACTGCCACGTCAATGCGACCGACAATCAGTGGAACGCGACCCGTCACCAACCGAACTAGACCACCGCCCTGCTGCCAACTACCGATCATTCGGTCCCCGTCGCTCATCCTCACCACGCCGCTACCGTTCTCCGTCCTCTCTGCGTCGCCGACCGAACCCTGTAGAGGCGGAAAACTGACTGCTGCAGCTCCGGAGGCACGAGCTGCGAAATCGTCGCATTGTACAAGTTCTCGCCCGTCCCCCACAAACGTTCTGGAAGTGTTTCTTGAAGGTCTACGAACTCTTGCGCTTGTTGATACGGGTGCCGCCGTATCTGTGATGAGTCAGAAACTCTGCCATTCGATACAAAAATAACGACGCCGCCTTCCGACGTTTTGCTGAATACCGCGAGTGCGCAACCAATTCGACCAGTCGGAGCATGTACGGCGAGAGTAAACATTCAGGACGTCCTGTACCACATCGAGTTTCTCGTGTTGACCACTTGTGCCCACGACGTGATACTTGGATGGGATTTTTTGTCACGCCACCACGCCGTAATTGACTGCGCTCGCGCGCAGGTGGAATTATCTGTGTTTTCAGATGCGCCATCTACCGACAATGAGCGCACTCCCCTGGGCAAGCTTCTTGTTGCTTCTGACGTTGATGTTCCTCCTCTTAGTGCCATCGTTGTCCCCGTCAATCGCACTGAATTATCTGGCTCTACCGTTGTGTTCTCCCCATCTGACGTTTTCAGTCGCCGCCACGGTACGTCTCTGCCATACGCCGTTCTGCCACTTCACCAGGATACTTCCGGAATTGTCGTTTGCAATCCTAGCTCATGCCCTCTCACCTTAAGAGCTCACGAAACACTGGGCTATGTTCATCCTGTTGATGACAACGTTGTTGTGCCTATTGAGTCCCACGACCCTGGCCAGCAACTTCAACTGAACGCCGTTGCTCCTCTTTTTACGCGGGATGACTACTCCTCGGATATCTTCAATCGTTCCATTGACAGCAAGCTTCCTCCGGATCAACGGGACCAGCTAATGACCCTTCTCCATGAATTCCGAGATTCATTTGACCTTCCTCAAAAGGCACTGAGTCAAACTAACACCGTCGCTTACACAATCTACACTGGAACGCATCCTCCTTTGCGGCAACGCCCCTACCGCGTATCACCCAAGGAACGAAGTGTAATTGCAGAACAGGTGGATGATATGCTTCAGCGCGGTGTCACCAAACCACCTTCTAGCCCCTGGTCTTCACCTGTGGTGCTAGTGAAGAAGAAAGATGGTTCGATTAGATTTTGTGTCGACTACCGGCGACTGAACAAAATTACACGGAAGGATGTATACCCTCTTCCCCGCATCGACGACGCTATCGATTGCCTACAAGGTGCTGAATTCTTTTCTTCGCTGGACTTACGTTCAGGTTACTGGCAGGTTCCGATGGCAGAGCGTGACCGTCCGAAAACAGCGTTCGTTACGCCGGATGGCCTATACGAATTCATGGTTATGCCATTCAGTCTGTGCAATGCACTTGCAACGTTTGAGCGAATGATGGACAGCATTTTACACGGCCTTAAATGGCAGATATGCTTATGTTACCTCAATGGTGTTATCGTATTTTCTCCTGATTTTTCTACGCACGTCGACCGTCTGCGCACCATTCTTCAGCGTCTTACCAAGGCAAACCTCCAGCTTAACCTAAAGAAGTGCCGCTTTGGGGCTCCGCAACTTACAATACTTGGTCACGTTGTGATAAAGGATGGAATTTGCCCCGACCCAGACAAACTTCGAGCCGTAGTCGACTTTCCGAAGCCGACTTCACTCAAAGAACTTAGGAGCTTCATCGGCTTGTGCTCATATTTTCGTCATTTCGTCCACAACTTTGCAACAATAATAGCCCCACTTACACAACTACTGAACGGTCCAGCTAATCTTTCTAACTGGACCCCGGCATGCGACGAAGCTTTCCTTACACTGCGCCGCCTACTTACGTCCCCACCGATTCTACGCCATTGCGACCCAAGTGCCCCCACTGAAGTGCACACAGATGCCAGTGGCGTTGGTCTGGGAGCAGTACTCGCGCAACGAAAGCCAGGTATTCCAGAGTACGTCGTCGCATACGCAAGCCGCGCACTCACGAAAGCGGAGATGAACTACTCCGTAACTGAAAAATAATGCCTCGGAATCGTTTGGGCGTTGAGCAAGTTTCGTCCTTACTTGTACGGACAGAGTTTCAACGTTGTGACCGATCACCACGCACTTTGTTTGGTGGCGTCGCTAAAAGATCCTTCAGGTCGCCTTGGACGTTGGGCTCTTCGACTACAAGAATTCGACATTCGTGTCGTCTGCCGCTCAGGACGAAAACACTCTAATGCGGACGCCCTCTCACGATCACCAGTGAGATCCACCACAGACCTGCATTCGGACACCAACTTCTCCATCGCTCCCATTTCCGTCACAAGCATGTCGTCTGAACAGCGGAAAGACCCATGGATAACAACTCTCCTTAACATTTTTTCCGACTCTTCAAACGTCTGCGTACCCACGCGCTCTTCGCCGCCAAGCCACACATTTCGCGATACGGGACGCGCAACTATACCGCAGAAACTACCACGCGGATGGTCGTAAATGGCTCTTGGTTATACCACGCCACATGCGATCTGATGTCTGTGCGTATTTTCATGCCGACCCACAACATGCTCACGCTGGTGTGTTAAAACATATCAGGGGATCTGCCAGCGTTACTACTGGCGTGGTATGTACACTTTTGTACGAAAATACATTCGGTCTTTATGCCAACGACGAAAGACAGCTTCCCATTCACCCAGATTATTACAGCCTCTACCGTGTCCGGCGCACCCTTTCGACCGCGTTGGTATCCATCTATATGGCCCCCTTCCTTACACTGCCACTGGAAATCGATGGATCATTGTCGCCGTCGACCATCTGACGAGGTATGCTGAAACAGCTCCACTACCTACGGCTGGTGCACGTGACGTAGCCAATTTTGTTTTGCGACGCTTCGTACTGCGTCACGGGGCACCATGTGAACTACTAAGTGATCGAGGGCGTGTCTTTATCCGAAGTTGTACAACAACTCCTTCAGGCATGCCGCACGGTGCACCGCACCTCTACAGCCTACCACCCGCAGACCAACGGTCTAACTGAGCGCTTCAACCGAACGCTAGGAGACATGCTCGCCATGTATGTCAATTCCGACCAATAAAACTGGGATGTCATTCTCCCATTTGTGACCTATGCGTACAACACCGCAACGCAGTCAACCACAGGCTTCTCGCCTTTTTTCTATATGGGCGTGAGCCATGCTCCACCCTTGACACCATTTTGCCGTATCGTCCCGACGTCTCAGAGTTCAGCCCTCTTTCTGAAATTTTGCACCACCCTGAAGAGTGTCGTCAGTTGGCCCGATCATTCACCTCGGACAAGCAAGCATTCGAAAAAGACCACCACGACCGCTACCAGCAAGGCGAGACTTTTGCCGTGGGCTCGCTTGTCTGGCTCCGACTGCCCTTCCACTCCCCAGGTCTGTCCGCTAAGTTTGCCCCCAAGTTTCACGGTCCTTATCACGTCGTCGAACGCCGATCTCCTGTCACATACGTGATCGGGCCGGTCACGCCATCTACAGACAGGCGATGCCTTGGTCGTGAGACTGTCCACGTGAGTCGTCTCAAGTCATTTCACGACCCACTCCTAATCTCATCCCCTTGACTTGCCAGGATGGCTCGTCTTCGTCGCCGGGGTATTGTAGAGAGGAAGAAGAATATGTGCCGCAGTGGGTCACGCCTTTAGCAAGAGGAGCCGAGCACGAGCTGTTGCCCCGAGCGTTGTGTTTCCTGCGTCGGTTCCTGCCGCCCGCTTTCCGCATCAATAGACCTGCTGTGCAAGTACTACTTGCGCCAATAAACCCGGTTCCACCTGAATAGTGTGCAATAGCACCGACTGATAAAACTGCTCAAATAAGGACCACAACAAGGCAATAGCGTAGGCGGGTGAATGTCGTGCAAGAGGGTGAAGACACACTTTAGTGGGAAGCGGAACGCCTTGACGCTTTCACGGCTCAAGCTACGAACTCTGTTCTTGAAGCGCTTTGAGACACATGCATTAGCACAGGTGTAGGTTACCCTATCGCTGGAGTGGGCAGAGTTTCTCTCTTCAAATGAATATATGCGGTTAAAATGAGTGCACACCGAGTTTCTCAAAATGCCCACGAAAGGCTAAAAATGTGTTTATTATGAGCATGTTATGTGCTTGTTGTACCAGTCTCCATTGGGTGCTAGTTGATGCCATCTTTGCATGGGATTTCCCAGATGTCATGAGGTGTATGTAAGCTATTCACAGCTCTAAGACAGTTTTAGTCATCATCATGGATGCTAGCCCTCGTGATACTTATGTGTCACATGATGTCAACGTGGATGAATCAGGGTCAAAAGGTGATACAGCTGCCGTAAATCAAAAGACATTGTGCACATTCTCCGATATCAATACGATAAACTGTGTACTACACTGAAGTACTACTCTACAGAGGATTAACTGCCACCATAGTGCTCCATAAAGAATGCGACAGAATACCAGTCAAGAAGGGTGCAATACAATGAGATACAATCTCCCCAATGGTATTTACCGCATGCTTAGAGGTTTTCAGAGGCCTAGAGTGGGAAGAGTTAGGAATCGGAGTTAATGGAGAGTACCTTAGTAACCTGCGCTTTGCCAAGGACATTGCGTTGCCGAGTAACTCAGGGGATGAATCGCAACTCATGATTACGGAGTTAGACAAGGCAAGTAGAAAGGTAGGCCTTAAAATTAATCTGCAGAAAACGAAAGTAATGTACAACAACCTCAGAAGAGCACAGCGCTTCGAGATAGGTAACAGTGCACTTGAAGTTGTAAAATACAGCGTCTACTTAGGACAGATAGTAACCACGGAGCCGAACCATGAGATTGAAATAACTGGAAAAATAAGGATGGGCTGAACCACATTCGGAAAGCATTCTCGAATCATAACTGGTAGATTGCCACTATCCCTCAAGAGGAATGTATATAACAGCTGCATTTTGCCGTTACTTAGCTGCGAAGCAGAAACCTGGAGGCTTACAAAGAGGGTTCAGCTTAAATTGGGGACGACGCAGCGAGCGATGGAAAGAAAAATGGTAGGTGTAACCTTAAGAGAAGGGGAGGGATCAGAGTGGATCATGGAACAAACCGTGCTTAAGGGTATCATAATTTAACTCAAGAATAAGAAAGGTGCATGGACTGAGCATGCTGCGCGTAGGCGTGATAACCACTGGTCATTAAATATAACTGACTAGATTCCCATAGAAGGCAAGCGGGTTGGCGGGAGACAGAAAATTAGGAGGGCAGAGGAGATAAGGAAGTTTACGGGTACAAATTGGCAGCAGCAAGCACAGGACAGAGTTGACTGGCGGATCATGGGAGAGGCCTTTGTCCTGCAGTGGACGTAGTCAGGCTGATGATGATTATGATGATGACTCTGAAGTCAAGGTGTTAATGAGGTTCTTATGACAGAGGAAGCAACCATGCTTTTTTTTTCATTTCTTGAGCCTTGCTTCACTTGCTGCCTGCCCGAGCTCATTTCCTCATTTCCAAATCAGTTTGAGGAGCTTTGTACCTCACTTTGTCATTCAGAATCTGAAGTTTGAAATGTGGTACACCGTAAGCTTATTAGTATAGGAATCTGCTATATATCCGGCCTGTATTCTACATGAATAGAAGGGTCGAATTACCTAGCTGATCTAAGGACCAGCCTTGAGCCTGATGAAATGCGAAAGCAATTGGCAACTGTACCCAAAAGCAGATGCTTAGAACACGTTTAGTCTAAAGAAATGAAAAGTCTCTGCTGGCATTTTTTTGGTGCTCTCATTTATTTCTTCGTCGCAATTGAAGCGACTTGTCAAAAGTAATCCCTGTCGAATATGCAGGCTTTCCAAGGAGATGGTACGCTTCTTTCGCTGCTAAGTAGAATAATGTGATTTCTTCTTTCTGGTGGCGGAAGGGACAACAGTTGACATCAGCGCCATCTTAAACCTCAACATTCAGGCCTTCGCCCACTTTCCAGAGCATGAGTTCTATACAGGCAGCTGCATCTTCCTGGCTGTTATGACCACCGCCTGCACACATTTCAAAAAGTCATGCTATCACTTAGGCACAGCTGTGGACGTTCATACTTTGAACTAGAGCACAGCATCCAATAACTAAGTTAAGAGAAATAACTTACTGGATAATATATACACATATTGAGGGCAGAAATACATTAAATCTGTATCTGTTCGAGAAACTGAAGCAAGAGGAACGGGCGTCAAGGCTTGATACATTCATGCTCAGCTTAAAACTTCGCGGTAGTGCTTGCATTTGGTAGAGAAGCGGTATCAAGCTTTCCAGGCTATCATCATTATTATTGAGACCCTACTGCCGTCTTGTAAATTTAAGCGCTCGTTGTCTTTATTTAACCCAATACATTATAAGTAACCGATAGTTACGCAAAAAAAGAAAGCCGCCCGCATCTTCCCACGGGGGAGCTCGAGTAAATGCGTCGCAGAGTGATATAGGGGTATCGCGTAGATGTTGCGTGGCTGGGTATTGAGTGGAAGTTCCGCTATTCTGACTTTTTAAGCTACTCTACAAGTAACTTGTCAAAATAAGGCTTAAAGGGACACTTAGTGTAAAGGAAAATGTATATCGCAGTGAAAGCTCAAGTTATGACAACGTATAAAATGGCAATATTAAAACAGCAGTGCCTTTTTTGTCAAAAAATTAACCTAAATATCAGATGACGTGCACCACGAGTGGTATATTTGCGCAACAATCCAGATCGCTTGAATGCGTCCGCCCCCAATTAGTCAAGTAATCAAACTAGCTGCAATAGGAAAGAGCTTTGTCCGTTTCTGTTTGATTTATAAAAATAAAAAAGCATCTGGCGTTACTACGGGGAATGGCACGAATAGGTGAAAACTCTAGTTTTTGGCTGGTTCAGCTGGATAGGTGATATCATCTAGTGGCGCCTGCAGTTACCTCCGAGATTGCAGAAAATTGTTTGATGGCCGTTGTTGCTATTGTGGCTCCTCCTACCTTCGCTCTGTTGCTACTGATGTCGGCGGCCGCGTACTGCCGGCGGGTAACGTTGGGCACGTGAACAATGACGTCTAAGAGTTCGCTTTAACATGCGGGTGATTCGAAATGCTCTAACACAATGCGTAGCATTAAAGCGAGATTTTATTTCAAAATAAGCACTCCTTTGCAAAAAAACGAGCATTACCAGGTTTTTGAATTGCTAATTTAACAACGAGCATCGACTTAGTATTTGTCTGCCGTCATGCTCGGCTTTCCGGTCTCTGCGTAGGACTGAGCCGGGTGCGTGACCATATTCGCGTTCCGCAGGACCAAAATAAAGTTATTTTTCTTCTTTGCTTCCTCCCTTCGTTCCTTCCTTTAGTGTCGTGACAAACTCTAGAAGTAATTAGCTACTTACTTCTACAACACAAAGGCAACTGAAAACAAAAGTAACCTATTTTTCCGATGAACACTAACCGAGTGTTTGAGTCTACTGATGCTGAGTCTGTTAATACAGCTGGCACTTGGCAAGCTACACGCTTCTGACAACCGGTTCCTTGGGGAGGTTAATGTCTTCAAATTTCGCAGGGCTAGGTTATCCTGCAATACACAGGATTCTGCTCCTCATGACTGGTTTTCATCCACGCAACCCGTATTTGCCTGAGCTGTGGATACAGAATATTCGCTTGGGATAGGTGGACACCAAATAATTTGTTGATCGTGCTGCACTGTATTCATTTGCATTAAATCTGGAAAGTTTTGAGTAGCCCGTACCCTTCAGCTTCGTGTTCATGGTTGCGTCTAACAAAAGGAAACGAGCCCTTGATTTGTTTCTGATGTTTAGAAAATGATCGCGTTTCCATGCGGACATCAAAATCACATCGTCAGGAAAGCATCCAAGCATTTGACGTGAAAAAGGCGGAAATGAGTTGTACCAGACAGGTCTCACGTAATCTCCTGGAAAATGTGATTAGCTTTACAGGTGGCACATTAGGATTTTAATACGATAGCCCGCTGAACGGGCGCATGCTCTCGCTAGTTTCTCTCGATACGCATATGTTGCATCATGTGATAATAATCTGTATAGATCTCTCTCTCCCTGTGTGTGTGCATGTGCGTGCGTGCATGCGTGCGGGCATGATGTGGTTAGACGCCCTATATATCCTATGTAACTGTGAACTATAGGTGTGTGAATAACTGAGTTATAGGCGAATTGAATAATGTCACGGGGTCGTGACGTGGCCAAAGACAGGAAACTTCGTGTTGGGATTTAACTGTTTATTTGGGCGAACCTGTGCCCCGTAAAGGGAAAGTCTAATTACAGCAGCAGTCTTGCACAGATAGCAGTCTCGGACTGATAGCGGCGAACGCAGCGTCGGCCTTCGATCAACTACTGACAAGCGGCGAAGCGCGTCGGCATTTATACCCTTGCCGTCGAATGTTCTAGCGTTATCGCTGGCGGTGGCGTAGGTTCCAGAACAATCTGTACCGTTCGCACAGTGGGCGTGATCTTATCGAAATGATCTACTACAGTCTGGAACCTTCTCGAAACCTGCAGGCGTGGTTTGCGCCGAGAATCGTGTGGTGTTTCGGAACGATAACAAAAACTTGTGAAATGGAACGTGGCATTGCCCCCCTCTGAAAAAAGGCATCGTCCCGATGCTTTAACTAAAGATGAAGGTACAATAATAATGCAAGAAAGTACAATAAATAAATTACAATACAACAATAATACAAAAAAACACTGTTTCAGTTTGTTAACGTGCATGAAACGGCTTGAGGCGCGCGACATGGACGACTTCAGGTCGCGATCGGCGTCGTTGAGAGTTCGTGATGCCGTCGGGGACAACCTCGTAATCAAGTGGGCCGAGACGTCGAACCACCTTGTACGGTCCGAAGTACCGTCGCAGAAGCTTTTCACTTAGTCCACGTCGGCGTATCGGCGTCCACACCCAAACACGTTCACCGGGCTGGCATTCCACGAAGCATCGTCGAAGGTTGTAACGGTGGCTGTCGGTCGTCTGTTGATTCTTGATACGGAGACGCGCAAGTTGTCGGGCTTCTTAGGCGCGTTGAAGGTACTCGCTCACATCGAGGTTTTCTTCGTCGGTGACGTTGGGTAACATGGCATCGAGCGTCGTTGCCGGGCTCCTTCCGTAGACCAATTTGTATGGAGATATCTGCGTCGTCTCCTGCACCGCCGTGTTGTATGCGAAGGTCACATACGGAAGAATGGCGTCCCACGTCTTGTGTTCTACATCGACGCACATTGACAGCATGTCGGCGATCGTCTTGTTAAGCCGCTCGGTGAGGCCGTTGGTCTGTGGGTGGTACGCTGTCGTCCGGCGGTGGTTTGTTTGGCTGTATGCCAAGATCGCTTGAGTTAAGTCGGCAGTGAATGCCGTTCCTCTGTCGGTGATAAGGACCTCCGGGGCGCCGTGACGTAGGACGATATTTTCGACGAAGAACTTAGCTATCTCGGATGCACTGCCTTTTGGCAGGGCTTTTGTCTCGGCGTAGCGGGTGAGGTAGTCGGTAGCTACCACGATCCACTTGTTTCCGAAAGCCGACGTCGGGAACGGCCCCAGTAGGTCCATACCAATCTGGTGGAAAGGTCGGCAAGGTGGATCAATTGGCTGCAGAAGTTCCGCTGGCCTTGTCGGCGGTGTCTTGCGTCGCTGACAGTCCCGGCATGTCCTCACATAACGAGTGACGTCGGTGGTAAGACGTGGCCAGTAGTACCTTTCTTGTATCCTCGCGAGCGTGCGGGAAACACCGAGGTGCCCTGCCGTCGGATCGTCGTGCAGGGCCTGCAGGAGTTCTGGTCGCAGAGCTGAAGGCACCACAAGAAGGTAGTTAGCTCGAAGCGGTGAAAAGTTTTTCTTTTGTAGAAGACCGTTTCGTAGAAAGAACGACGCAAGTGCGCGCTTGAATACCTTCGGGACTTCGGTGGTCCTGCCTTCGAGGTATTCTATTAGGGCTTTAAGTTCCGGGTCGGCCCGCTGTCATTCAGCGAAGTCATCGGTAGTTATCGTTCCCAAGAAGTAGTCGTCATCCGAGTCGTCGGGGATCGGTTGGTCGACAGGCGCACGAGAGAGACAGTCAGCGTCGGAGTGTTTTTTGCCGGACTTGTAAATGACAGTAATGTCATATTCTTGAAGTCTCAAGCTCCATCGTGCGAGGCGACCTGAAGGGTCCTTCAGGGTGGCTAGCCAACACAAGGCGTGGTGGTCGCTCACAACTTTGAAGGGCCTGCCGTAGAGGTAGGGGCGAAATTTCGACGTATCCCAGATGATGGCGAGGCACTCCTTTTCTGTTGTGGAATAATTTGCTTCTGCTTTGGATATCGATCGGCTGGCGTAACTAATAACCCTTTCAAGTCCGTCAGCCCTCTGCACAAGAACGGCGCCAAGACCTACGCTGCTTGCGTCAGTATGTATTTCTGTCTCGGCGAATTCGTCGAAATGGGCAAGTAACGGAGGCGTCTGGAGGCGATGTTTAAACTCCTGGAAAGCGTGTTTCTGTGGCGTTTCCCACTTGAACTCCGAGTCGGCCTTGGTAAGGTTAGTGAGAGGATCGGCGATGCGGGCGAAGTTTTTCACGAACCGCCTATAATAGGCGCACAGGCCCAGAAATGGGCGCACGGCCTTCTTGTCAGTGGGCGGCGGGAAGTCGGCGATGGCGGCTGTTTTCCGTGGATCGGGACGAACTCCAGACTTGCTGATAACGTGCCCCAGAAACAAGAGCTCCTCATACGCAAATCTGCACTTTTCTGGCTTCGTTCATGTACCGGACGCCCCCGTCAAGCCGTGTACCCAGCACCTCCACCAGATGTCACGGGGTCGTGACGTGGCCAAAGACAGGAAACTTCGTGTTGGGATTTAACTGTTTATTTGGGCGAACCTGTGCCCCGTAAAGGGAAAGTCTAATTACAGCAGCAGTCTTGCACAGATAGCAGTCTCGGACTGATAGCGGCGAACGCAGCGTCGGCCTTCGATCAACAACTGACAAGCGGCGAAGCGCGTCGGCATTTATACCCTTGCCGTCGAATGTTCTAGCGTTATCGCTGGCGGTGGCGTAGGTTCCAGAACAATCTGTACCGTTCGCACAGTGGGCGTGATCTTATCGAAATGATCTACTACAGTCCGGAACCTTCTCGAAACCTGCAGGCGCGGTTTGCGCCGAGAATCGTGTGGTGTTTCGGAACGATAACAAAAACTTGTGAAATGGAACGTGGCAATAATTATGTACAATCGAAAACGCATCTAATGCTGTTAGAACAGCTTTAGAATATATAGCAATAAACTTTATTTAAAGTGAGTCCAGCACCTTCCATCTGGTGAGATGGGGTGAAGAAGGAAACAGTTTTCAAATAGGCCCTGAAAGACTTTTTCAAGTAACCATGCAATGCATTTAGTAAAACAGCTTCTTGCCTCAAGATTAAAATGCCGCAAAAGCTTTAAGAATCCGTCCAGTACGAGTGGAGGTAAAAAAGTTTGTCGCGTGCTGCAATGGCATTCTTCTTTCGTCCCGACGAAAGCGCTGTATGCTACGCACGGAGGGATGTCATTGGCAAGAAGATACGTCACATGCGCCTCGAGCTTCTGTTCTTGTTTGTTTGTTTGTTTGTTTGTTTGTTTGTTTGTTCGAATACGTGGCGTTTTTAGTATGATCATGCTTACACGCGTAGACAAATCACGGCCTCTCGCGGTGATCCCTGTAACGACAAAGCGGGCCATGTTCCACTCAGCCAATGGCTGATAGATGGCCTTGTACGAGTGATTTTTTCAGCTTACTCCGTCATTTGTAGAGAGAATCAAAACCAATTTTTAGCTTACTTTGACAATTTATTGCAATTTCAGGCCACGTGCAGCGCCATAATATTTCGCTATCGTTTTCTCAGGAGCCTCTACAACCTATCGGCAGCGTTTTCTGACCATGCCCAAAAAGTGTTGCAGGGCCCATTTAAGACAAACTTAGAGTTCAACGTTCTTCTTTCAACGATTACTCACAAACTTTAACGGAGTAACAATCCAGTCATGAGTAACCTCATTTAACCAGAAAAATACCGCAACTGTTGAAAGTAAGAAAACCTTGTGTGAAGTAGCGATGAGAGAATCCGAGGTATTATAATGTACATGATGAATAAGACAGCTATTTCAGCATTCGGGGCGATACTTAGCCGCCAGCTTTTCCACGATACAAACTTTCGTTAAACGTTTCATGAATGAACGCGATGAATCTCATGATAGTGATAGATGACTGAGGACGCATTCGCTTGGGCTACGCGTTCACCGCAAAGAATACTTTTCCGGTAGTCAGTTAATATTGAATAGTACCGCAAAAGCTTCTACTATACATGTACCTTGCTAATTCATATACAAAAAAAGAATTATTGATCATTCGCTCCTCTGATATGTTGTTATTTGTATGTTTTCCCGTCGGTGCTGCTTATTTTGAAACTATTCGAAAAATAATCATTGATTTGAATATGGTCTACTTTGTTCGTGCGCCATACTCGGCTTCTGACCCACAGGTCGCGGGATCAAATCCCGGCTGCGGGGGCTGCATTTCCGGTGGAGGCGGAAATGTAGGCCCGTGGGCTCAGATTTCGGTGCACGTTAAAGAACCTCAAGTGGTCGAAATTTCCGGAGCCCTCCACTTTGGCGTCTCTCAAAATCATATGGTGGTTTTGGAACGTTGAACTCCACATATCATCATTGATTCATGCGCCGAATCTAATACGACGCTATTCTGCTCGTTCATCGAAATTTTGGAATATTCGCGAACTAGAATCGCCTAATTTTATCGCCAAGCCTCTATGATTATTCAGAAAAGCGGATGTGTATGCTCGACCGCGTATACTTGGAATCAAAACGAGAGTCGCTATGCTCGTGCTACTAATAGCTGTCATCCACCGAGCAGACGCCACCGCGGTAGTTCAACGGTCAAAATGCTGCACTACTAAGCTCATGGTCGTAGGCTCGATTACTTTTAGTCAAGGTGGCTTCATTTGGATGGAGGCAAAACACCAAGACACTCGTATGCGTACTTAGGTCAGCAATAAAGAACGTTGTAGAAATAAATCCGGCTCCCTCATTACGACTTGCCATAATCACATCGTAAATTAGGCGCCAGAAGCTGGCGAACTACTTTTTTTTCATCAGTGAAATACCACGATGATATAAAAGCTATGAATTTGTGTTCACAAGGGCTGCGCGAGCAGATTTTCTGAAATATTATGTACGGTGTAGCCAAAATTTAAACAGTTTTCTTATATTTGATTTACATTTCGTGTAAGTGCACCAACAGCTCGTAAACACTGATGAATAAGAGAACCAAGGAAAATAAACTCAGGCTTTTTCGGTATTTATCGTAGTAGGTTCTAGACTGAGCGAGGAACCAATAAAAAAGACTTGTTAAATGTTACCTCTAAGGCAGAAATCCTAAACCAGCACCTAAAACTGGCATCCTACAAAGAAGTCAAGCCTGCAAGGGATCCACCACGCTATCTTAAGGTGTCGCGTTCTTAAGTTCGAGGGCGTCGATGCAATTCTCGCCTACGGCAGCCATATTTCTATGCAGCCGAAATGCAAAGTCCACCAGTGTGCCTACATTTAGGTGCTCGCTAAAGAACCCCAGGTGGTTGAAACTAATCCAGCGCCCCTCACAATGACCTACTTAACATTCATGTTGCGATTTTGGCTTATAAACCAGCCGAGATTAGCTATCAAGCCTTAGAGTGCGTCAGGTTAGCGCTCTATCTTGCCCAATCTTTCCCGACATGGTAAACGTAAATTATTTCGAACCACCTACAACTAAGTGCGCCAAAAATTCTTAACCAAATCACCTCCATCCTGAATGGACTTGTCCAAGTATTGCTTGACAATGCGGCGCAACGCTCGCTTGAAAGGGAAGCCCTTATAGTGCGGAAACACGACGCACGTGTCGACGACATTTGTGTGAATTAGCCGCAGGGCTCGAAAGTCCGAGTCGAGGCTGTGACCAAGGAGCAAGGTTTCGGCTGAGAAGCGTTCCAGCAGGGCTGCCTGAACGTCCCTCAGGGTCGTATCCACCCCGACCATGTGCTCCTCCGTCAGGCCGTTGAACCTGTGAGGTAAGGATGGGTGCATAGAGAAGTAACGGGGTGTCACACAGTTACACGGAGAATTAAAGTACACTCGTTGTACTTAGACACGGGTTTCGATAATGAAATTTGTTTTGTACTGTGGCAAAGCCGTTATCTTTATATCCATGATAAACAGAAATGAGAATGTGAACTAAGAAAATGATATATTTTATTTGTTTACAACCATGACGGAAAATGGCCCTGTGTTTCTGAGACAAATAAGTGAATTCATCTTCCGCAATATAGCTATAAGTTGCATCATTTTTCCATAGTGACTACTTTCTTTTCTTTTTCTTGTATTGTATTTCATGTGATCATTTGTATATGGTATTGTCCCTCCTTCAAAGGCCAGAATATTAGCCTGCAGTATTAGTAAATAATAAATTATAAAACATGGGGGTCCTTCAGCTTCGCTTTTAAAAGTTGAATGTGATAGCGATATTTTGTTCCTATATAGTGCTAAATTCAAGCATTTAGTGTATCAAATATTTTCGAACTTGCTATGCACCCACTACGTGAACTCAAGGGTGTCGTATATATATAGTGTGTCTGCCTTTTATAGTGGGTTTCTGGCTTTAAACTACGAAGTCATCATGATAATCCCATGCTCTGACACCCATGGCAATGTACGCTTGTACCACACATTGCAATATTTTATGTTGCAATATTTATGGTGTATTGTGAAGCATGTACGCCGGACGCGTGTGTTTGTAAGGCATGAAAGTTACTTTCACTGCATTTTCAAGCAGAAGAAGCTATTTTTTCTGTATTCGCAAGCAGACTAGGCTTCGTTCAAGAGACTTTTTTGTGCCGTCTGTTATATTTCCGCTCTGTGACGTGCCTGAAACAACTGAACATTGTTTTATAAGCCACAAAAATGCAATCTTATTTTGGGAAGTGCTCCAGCGAACTCTTAAAAAATTCCATGCGATATCTACGGCCAGCCAGTTACAATGACGTATCATTCTACATGTTTCTACTTGTTAGAACGCATTGCCCGTGGCAGACGAGTATATTTCAGAGAAATGCTGAGCCAATGATTCCTCAGCAACCTACTTTATTCGAATGATAATTCAAATATGCGATGTTCACGAGAAAATGTACTTTCAGCCAGAATGGTATGTTACGTTGGTGAAGCGTTTACCCTTACCCATTCTGGGGTATGTGAGGAAAAGTTGATTGCTAGATGTATTTGTTCTAGACATGGTGAACTCTTGGGTGTTCTGTGTTAACCATTGTGTCGCAATAACAGAAGAATGAACATATTACGTACTTCTGTGTATTTGTTTTACAGCCATGTTTAAGTTGAATGAACACAGAGAGACAAAGATAGGCGCGGTTTTGTGGTGCAGAACCCACTTGCCACCCGAACGACTCAGGTTTATTCCCCACTGAGACTCAGAATTTTTTTATCTATCTTATTTGCATCTTTCTCGATTTCTCGGTCAGATGACATTTTTGCTCCCAACCAGTGACGCTGATGCCGACACCAACGTCTGGATCTAGGCGAAATCAGCTCTGTAACGCTATCACGTTACTAATAAAAAGCGTGTCAGCACTATCTGCCTCTTGCAGTTACTACTCACTTCGTGCCTAATAAATTATTTTTCGTGGTGCCATGGAGGAATACCTACAGTGATGCATCAGCAAACTCATTCAGACACAGACTAAAGGTTCTATCTGAGGCTAAGTGAGTCCGATTGAGTAATACCTGGGCGAGTTTGAGTCCAAGGAACTCCAGTTGAGAGAAATATGAGTAAGTGTGAATGCGAGTGAATGTGGTAGAGGAAAATTTGGGTGAGTGATGATGAGGATGTAGGTCTGCCTGGGTGAGCCCTTGGAATAAAACATATTCCCCGAATGAGTGAGCTACCCGCCTTTTGTCGATATATGGTCGCATCTACGCAACTTCACCTGTACTACCAACCTTATGTGTCAGCTCACGTTTCTGCTCACATCTACTCACTCCAACGCAATATTAGCTGCTATACTCCAGCCCATTACTGATCGGAGAGAGAGGGGTAGATAATCTTTTTTTTTTCAAAAAGAAAGTTCTTACTGGATTACAACTCCTCGACATCTTGTGCTCGAGAGTACGACATCAAAAGGCGCCCGTTATTTCCCTTATTATATAAGACAGTGGTGTTATAATCATTATTGACACTATGGTCTTGAAAGCCGATTAGACGCTAACAAACTCATGAGTCGATTTCTTTACTCAGATGGAGCCATGAGACAAAGTAATACTTTATTTACTTTACGTCAGAGTAGGCTCAGTAGAAAAAACATTTAGCCAATGAGTCAGACAGTAAGTCCGGTTCATACAAATTTTGGTGAGCCAGAGCCCAAGTGATCCATAAGAGAAAATATATTTCACGAGTGAGTGTAGGTGAGTTCCTCGTCTCTAGGCTACGTAAGCCTACGTTGCATAGCATTAACATCTACTGCCCCGCTGTGGTTGTCTCTTGACTAGAGTACTCGACTGCTGACCAGCAGGTCACGAGGTTGAATCCCGGTTGCAGCGGCTGCATTTTCGATGGAGGCGAAAATGCTGTAAACCCGTGTGCTCAGATTTGGGTGCACGTTAAAGAACCCCACGTGGTCGAAATTTCCGGAGCCCTAGACTGCGGCATCTCTCACAATGATATGGTAGTTTCGGGACGTCGAACCCCACATGTCATCAGCATTCACATCTACTTTCTTTCCAACGCACGCACTCACTCAGTTTTGTAGTCCAGGATCTTCCCCTGCGGCTTCACAAGCGTGTCATACACGGGCACGAAGTCCCAGCCGAGTACCGACACTCTGATCACCTCGAAGCCCTTCGCCGTACAGCACTGCACAAAGAAACGCTTTCACACTCGAGCCCTTGGGTATGAACAGTGTGTGCTGTGAAAGTTGTGAGAGTTGAAGCTTCCCGGAACGAACCACTGGTGAATGCGATTCATAAAGAAGCAAGCTCACGTTAACACTTACTATGGGTAAGCAAATAGGAATTTCATGGAAAGCTGTACACCAATCAATTCAAGACATTACGAATAATAATGGCTGTTTTCACGAAGCTTCGTTGAATATTCCTACACCTCAATCATTTATCCCTCGCTTGAGTTCAAATTCCAGTATTGGATGCTTCCTGTGCGTAGAAAAGAAACAAGTGTAAATAAAGGCTGGCAGCTGGGAAAAGGCATGAATGCGCAGATTGTTTTGACAATAATCCGCCTGGATACCTGTTTCGCCGGACATGGAAGCGTCCTGCCGTGAAGCCTGTCATCACGGCACAGTTTGCATACTTCAAGAACGCGACTATTCACGTAGTTTCGAAGTAACCGCGAATATATATAGGCGTGCGCCAGCTCCGGCATCAAGCAGGGACAAGGATGATCGCTTAAATTCATGTGATACTGTTTTCTATCACATCGAACAAGAATGAATAATATTAGAACTCCATGTTGATGTCCTACAGTATTCAACGCGTTAGCCAATTCAAAATCACGTGCACTCTATGCAAAACTGAGTGAAGTATTTGAACACACAATTTGATCATTTTCCCGTGCGTATGACTCTTTCCACAGTGCTAATAGCTGGTTTTTGCAGTTTACATGCAAAATTATAGCAATTTACATGCTATGTGGCCAGCACTGGTATGGCATATGGCGCCGTCCTTACATCAGCTTTATGTATATGCGTGCTTTTAAAAGACGAGCAACAGCGTGATGCACTAGAGGAAGGAGGGTACGCACAAAACACTGTTTCGCCTGTAGCCTCCCTTCCGTAGTGCGTTGCCGTCAGGAACCAGTCAGTAACGCTTACTGAATCTTTGGTAGCATTGTGCACTATATATTCAGTGCGCATGCTTCTGGACTCAAACTATTCAAAAATTAGCTTAGAATGGTCGGCGAATACCGACCATTCTAAGCGAGAACTCCCGAATCACGTAAAATGACATTGAATTCTTTATTAAACATTTCAAGTACCTCCTCATTAAGAGTTATGTTTTGTTGAAGCCCTACTTGTTTCTTTTCCAAAGCAGACTATATGTAATTGTATGCGGGAAGCAACTCTGAAGGTTGCCCATGTCAATACGAGTGCCTGCTTACGAGCAGAGTAACGTACAAAACACACACACACACACACACACACACACACACACACACACACACACACACACACACACACACACACACACACACACACACACACACACACACACACACACACACACCAACAGAAGTAGGGCATACCCCTGTGTCTAATAACAATAACATGAAAGCAGCATCTGTACTCCTTACATAAATCAATCGCAATGGTTGCGGGAAGATTGATCCCGAACCCTTCTCACTTCCCTTGGAAAACTACAACAGTTCTTGTGAAAGTTTACACTTGAAAGTTATCATTCAAGACGTTCCACTGAATTTCTGGCTGGAATGGCAGCGTGGCGCCGAGGAACAGCACCGTGGCCGACTACTATTCTTTTCAGGCTATAGTAGCCAGGGGATGAAGGGAGTGCCATCGTGGTACAAGTACAGTAGAGGTCACCATCCCCCCCCCCCCCAAAAAAAAAAAAACTATGATGAAGGGGGCGTTTCACCGAAAATGAATAATGAAAATAGATGTTTTTCGTACATAATCAATATTTTCTGCAAGTGCTCCCCCCACCCTCAAAAAAATGATGGTTACGTGCTTGCTTGTTCCACGACAATAAAACAGGTTTGACCCTCCTGAAGACAGTCAATAGTCATCAGCGCTTACCTCGTCTTTCAGGTCATTGGGGCACATCTTCCCACACCAATCAGTATTTACTTTTACACTTACAAACAATTACATAACTAAACCAAATAGATTCTGCCGCCTCACTGCGTTGCAAAACACACAATACGCCCGAAAAAAGAAACAATTACCTGAAGTGAAGGAAATTGTGGGGTTTAAATGGTGAGCTGCGCTCACAGGGCAAACAACACAGTCACGCCGTCGGGCAACCAACGCTAACACGTGGACATGTACTAACTGCTTTTCAA